ACACGATGGATGATGCAGGGTTTCGTAGTCCTGTTCGTTCAACTTCTACAGCGCCTGTAGGGCGACGTGCGTCAGCGCGTTATCGCTGATGACTGATGGCTTTCTGTTGATTAGTGTGGTGCGCAGCCGTTGAAGGGTCTGTAGCACTTCGTCGACTTGCGGGACCAAGAAGCTATAATGGACTAAAGCGGCAGCAAAGGCGAAAGTGATCCGTAAGGTCTTTTTTGGTGCAATTTCGTCTAGGTGAATTTCTGTGGAGCTTCGTCGTGGTGCAAGCACTGGACTAATCGTGTTCGGTTAGCGTAGAGGATTCATTTTTTCGTTCTCCTTTCTTCACGATAGGGTAGAAAAACTGTTCGCTCTGGCTGTGCACAATCGCCGAATATGCCTCAAAAAAGGATATTTCTTTCATTGCCATTCAATTCGTGCGACATGCGTTTGTCGCAATCAGCACGTTTCCACTGAGTTCCTTGCTCCGATTGTGCTGCAGTTCTCCTCCCAAAAATTCTGGAATCTGCACCTTAGTACAAATGGGCATGAGTCACCTGAAGCGAATCACACCATCGTTGAATACGAACATGACCGTTGGCGTAACCACATGCCAATTAGCGCTTCAAAGCAATACGACGTGACTGTTAGTAATTCCTCCTCGTTGCAGAAATTTTCACTTCCTGTGTCGCCTACATGTCCGTAAATCATTGGCTAACATATGGGGCATAATTAAGCTTTATTCATGCTAGTCATACACTAGAGCTGCTCAGCCGAAGTGACACGCAGAGCATTCCAGTTTGGATATGATGCTATTTTTAAGCTGATTTTTGTGAAAAGGTAGCTATGGGGTGCTCACTTGGTTCTGTCACGGTGTTCCTTTGTTGTTGGCTGAGCTTCCAAATCTAAATGGCGGCCTCCACCAGTTTAGTATTCATAATTACTCTCTGCAAATTTAGGAAGGCCTTGAACATCAGTAATAAAGATCTCAAGGAAGGTATTTTTTATCCTATGCAAATAACTCGGAATTAGCTCATATTTTGCTATGTAGACGAATGTGGATTAGCCAACAGTTAATAATTCCGTTCTAATGGTGTCGTTTTTTCCTATCTTTAGCTCCTGTAAAGTGAGGTTTCGGTTTAAGTTTCTATATCCTGCGATTGCAAAGGTTACCAATGCAAAAAGTCCATTGTACTTGGCAAGTTCACGTATCCTTTAGATTTAAAGGATAGACCTGTTCAAATCTGTCAAACGAGAGTAAGGAATTCTTCAGAATTATACTTCGATTAATTGAGTTCGATTCATTTTCCAGAAAATGTCGGTCTCAACCGTTCAAGTGTAGATAGCTTTAAGATGAATCATGGGCGGCAATACACGTGAATTTTTCAGCTGAGGGTTCTTAATTGGAGATAGAAGTATGTTTGCTGGGCAGAACATATTCCACCATGATTTTACAATTGTTTGATTTATTCCGTTGAACCTTAAGTTGTTATTTTCGTGTATATTTTGCTGCACTAAGATGGTTCTTTCTTGATCTCATTAGTCATTTGAAGAAGCCGAAGGTATTGTCAGTTTTTGTTCAGCACCTCGAACTCAAAGGCACCGTCTAGTATAAGTGGAGTTTCTCTAAGACCGGAAGCGAGAGAGAGCTAAGATTGGTCTTCATCCTTTAAATGAGGCACAGGAGATGTGCATCGCATAACTCTACTTCATTGCTAACCCCGCTGCACTGATGAATACTTGGTATTGGTTAGCCTTTTCTTCCCTTTCTACTCTTTTTGTTTCAGTGTTGAAGAAGTTTTGCGAAATCCTTATAACTCTTAGGGAATGAATTCGACACGTACCTGATACGACGTAGTTTAACCCATATAGAAGCTTTTTATGCATTTGCTTATAATATTAATGAATATCTTCCACTTATCTGCTATTCTTTGTAAAAAATATTTTTTCATGGACGATGAAAACGAGCTTAGTTTTCGAAATAGTAAAGAGAACATGTCAAATCTCGAAAAATGTTGCTGCAAACTGGCAAGGAGAAGAATGGATGACGGAATTGTTTTGGTCACTCACGAAATTTCTAGGGCAATGGGGCTAAAAAAATGAATAGAAATAGGCGTTGTCTATTCTTGAAGAGAGCCATTTGTGTCAATTTCTGTTATTATCTGAGGACGGATGGCGGGTGGGGACGTAGTGGTCGGAGGCGCCATTCGACACATACATCAGATCGATCTCCGAGCCCGTGGCTCACCAAGCCTTCCATTCCTCCGGAGTCAGCAGATTGGTACCAGACATGTGTGGGAGGACAGCAGCATTGGCTCGATAAATCGGTAGGCCATCACGAGTCATCGTGAAGGCCAGATATGCATTCAATCACCTCCAAAGACGCTTGGTGAAGCCGAATTCATGGTGCATCTCTCAGGAATTGTTCAACGCCGAGAGTTTTGTCTTTTATCCTTTATCCGATTGCTTTATTCTACAAGTTCCCTTTCTTTCCTGATGAGGTTCATAGTTTCTAGACCTAATCTATCGCTGCTGAGTTCTTTGATCCATCCAGATTATCTAAGCAACTCTTCCCGCAGATCCAAGTAAGTTCTTAGATATGTTGTATCACCGTCGAATTGTTTTATTCGCTTACTTGTTTGGCTACATAAATCGTTCACCTTGGCGAAGAACAGTGTGGTTTCCAAGTTACTTTCTATTTAGCCACAGTTTTGTTAAATTGGCAAGATTTTTCCTTTTAATTCCGAAAATTCCGTGCCAGAGTGTTTCCAAGTTACTGCAACTGGCAAGCGTTGGGCAGGCTTCTTTCAGAATTGCAGAGTTTCTTGATACCGTTGGTTGTCAAATGAGCTTCTAGGCAAAAATGTAGAGCTGTTTCTTAGCGTTATTGTTGACTTTGCTAGTAGGAGAAAACGTTCAAAGCCTAAATAGCTGTTCGGCACGTAGGAATCTGGAAGCTTCAATAATGACGAAACTTTTAAAGCTCCATTCCGGAACAGCATGGTTCTTTTGGCCTTTATTTTGACCTTTTATTTTTGGTCTTTTATTTATATTGTTTTCAGTGAAAAGCTAATCGCAGAGTTCGCAGGTTTACGTGATGGGATAGATGCAGTCATAGCTATATTTCTGTATTAAAAAGTGGAACTCAGCTTGGATGATGGTGCAAGAAAAAGAATTCCCGTACACAACTCGGCTCAAGACAAGTGAGCAACGCGCTGCCGTTAAATCATTGAGGTGGACTTCTTTCAAAGATATCATCATTTTTTGTTTCATTAAAGTGAATCAAATATGCAACTAAGTTCAGAACTCTTATCAGATACAATTATCCCACCTTCGAGGGGCACAAGGCTTGGTGGGCCAGGTGCGCTGTGGGCGATCCCATGTGTGTGTTGCAGGGCGCCATACGCGCCCTTTCTTTCATACTTGACTCATTTGGAATCTGCATTTTCATTATAACCATTTCCTTTTTTCCATTTATCATTTTCAAACATTTTTCTACAGAGAAGTTTGTTGCATAGACCCTGTTGGCATGCAGGGTTGTGTTCACAGTGCCATATTTCTATGCATCGTCATCTCAGCTTCTACGATTTATTGAAGAGTTCTTTTCCAATAAGCTCAGCTGCTGTAACGTATTGTAAACTCTTCGCTTATAACTTTACAATCTCGTATAGTGCAATATGCGGGGTTTTTCAAGCATCAACTATATTTCTGCCTTAAATTATGAGTGTGCAGTGGTACTTTCTCAGGTAGATGCCAGCTGCCAACGGCACTTGTTGAACACCTGCGGCCTTATGTATGCAGTTTCTGACGCGTGTCGTCGTCGTCGAAAACGTGATGATAGACATGAGTGAAGTGTTGGAATAGTCTATTTTGAAATACTCTCACGAGCTCCCTCTGTTGGCCTAATGCGAACTTGATATGGTTGTTGTTGTTCATCATCCCATATGCGAATGCTTCCACACCTAACAAAACGGCTCTGAAGAAGGCAAAATCGCTGGAACGTCAGCCATCGAATCACGAAAACAACAACTACGGTAAAAACAACAACTGATATCAATCTCGCGTCATTTCAACAAAGGCAGTTCATAAGAATATAAGTGCAAATATCGATCATTTATACCGAAGCTCATAGAAACCCAGTGTTTTGTAAACTTTGAAATACCTAATCCGAAGTCACAATACTCGTGGCGCTTTTTCTTATTGTTATGGCCCATGTTCAAATCTATGGTGCCAATCCTAGCACTTCTTGCATTCGATTCGTTCCCTCACATCCACCATGGACAAACGTCTTCGAATTTTTTTGGGTGTGGAAACGGCTGCTGTTTGAAGAATCCCTTGCCTTCGTGACAAATGCTGTTCAACATTGGTCGAATCAATTCTCCTCGCGTTCCTGCCATGGCCGTGCTAGATCAGTCCTGCGTGGATTATAGGGTGTTAACTTAAAACAGGCAAGTTTGATATCAGTCCGCTGATCACAAAGGATGAGGAACTTGGGAGGCCCAAAGTGGCATCTAAACAAAGCACGGTTAGGTGAGGTCATTCCGCACAAATGACTGGTCACTTACGGTAATACTTTACTGAAAGGTAATCAAAACTTGGAATACTGGGCTAGTCGCATGGTGAAAAATCTCCCTCTGATGTACAAGGGCTGAGAGTGCCTGTGATGGTGACGACCTGGGCAGACTTTGGTCACGCTGTGCTCAGGACTCCAAAGAACCATAACGGCTAAACCATCAAATCTCCGGAGAATGGAAATTATGCTGGGGCCCGCACATGTAGTGCAGAGGGGCCATCCAAGTATCCAAGTAGGTTGTAGTTCGTTGATCATTGATACTGAAATGTTTCGTTGCTGACCGCTCACAAATCCCTACTGCTCAAACGTACAGAATCTCGTGCTCTTAAAAAATATCCAATCGCGACCTCTCGTTTCTCATGTATTTCTCATGTAATAGTAGGTCGATATTCATTTGCTTAAGGGGCCTGTGTACACAACAACTCCAGCAGTTCTACAGATGCAGCCAGTGTTGCCGTCATGGTTAAGTTCGTCAGCTATGGCATCCAAATTCAGTTCATATGTAGAACCCGGGAGTAAGATCACTGGACTCAATTCCCCAACATTTCACCAAGGTATACTGTATATAAGTCATTAAGAAAAATCATTACACTCTTTCTCTCGTATTCATAGTGCTCTTTGAAGCGTTGCTCTCTTTTCAATCCACCGACGTCGATGTCGATAAACAACGAGGAATAGTGGGATAAATCGGTTAGGTTACGTCGGATGTCAAAAAGGAGTTAACATTACGAATTTTGACAGTTGTTGTATTGATGGGTATCCAGTCCGAAGGAGCTTCGCGATACGGGAATAGTTGACCGATCGTTATTGATCTGAAAACATGTTTATTTTACACCGGTCACAAACTACATCACACGATGTTGAGATATTTCTATTTGTTGTTACTCGTGAAATAGGAACTCGTCGAAGCGTTCTATGGATCTCAGTCCATATTTCAGGGTCCATCGAACCATACCTAGCGCCGAACACCTATCGCCTGTATAGTATGCGATTTTGTCCATACGCCCAACGAATAGTGATCTACGTAGCCAAGAAAAACATTCCGTACGTGGCTCTTGTTTCCTTTTAACTTCGATACGGATGTCCTTATAAGAAGTAGCTCTTCTGCACTTATCATGAATCTGCCAGAAGTCTGTACCGTCTTAATGAAATATTTAGGCATCGTGTAGTCAGGTCTTATCTACTGCTTATTCATTTCTCATGGTAGGTTATGACGTGAGATATAACCACAACAATGCTAAAACATTTATAAAACTCTTGATCGCAGATGTCTGCGGTGGGGATCGAAGCAGCCGCTATCTTTTCGGGTGGCTAACGTGTTTACCACTACATCATGCATGTCCTTCGTTCCGCTTTTCTTTCAGCCGCATTTTAACTTATGGGTGCCATCAGGAATCACCCGTCCACTGAATTCACCTGGAAGTCCGAAATCGGCACAGAACCCAGTTAAGCCGATACTGTACCATAAATCATAATGCAGTCACGTTTTATTTACTGCCTGTTCTTTCTTCATTGCAGTGTATAATGTGAAATGCAACCACAATAATGGTGTGATAATTGGTTAAAATACCGCTGGGAGCAAGACGAAACGATTGACCAGGTGTGATGGTGAACACCTAATGAAAGGTGTGAGCCCCGTGAAAGGGCAATGGCTGGTTCGATCCTAACAGCAATAACTGCAGTTCGAAGTTTGGCCAATATCTCAGTATCATCATGATTACTCCGATCATTAAATCGTTTTAAATTTGTTGACATTGTAGTCTACAAATTGCAGTGTCGAGATTGTCAATGTGAACCCAGACAAAGGTCCGAGTTGGTATCTGGCAAAATCGCCATTAGGAAGTGTTCCAGCACTGGAAATCAACGGAAATGTAAGTGTATGAAGTTTAAGAAGAGAAGGTCACCACTATGCATCCTATGGTCGACGTTCCATTTAACAACGGCTAAGGAGATTTTATTGAAGACAATATTTTTACTTTGTTACTCTAATATTATGCGCTTTGCTTCTCCTCTTTTCTTTGCTTATTCTTTCTTTTCACACGCGCTTCATTCTCGATCGTTCGCCTTTTAATTCTGCATTCTTTAAAAGATTCTCTCACAGGTAATCTTTGAATCAAAAGTGTTGGCGGAGTACTTGGATGAAGTATTTCCTTCGACTTCGGTGCTTCCACGAGATCCGTTGCAGAAAGCTCAACAGAAAGTTTTGGCTGAACGACTTTCTCCGGTGAACCATTTTCCCTTTCCTTCCACTTTCCATTTTTTCAACAGTATTTATTCTTGATAACCACTCAGTGTAGTATGTTTGCATAGAGCAAGAACACTCCTGCGCTTTGTGCCTTCAATGCTTTTTTGGTTTTGATGGATAAGTGCTGATCTCAGTTTTATAGCTGATGAATGTGCTCTTCGATCTGTTCGACTCGAACACGCCAGCCTCACAACGAAAAACGGACAGCTCACTGCACAAGGCTCTTCGCGGGGCTGAGGCATTACTTGTGGACAACTTTTATGGTGGTACGTAGTTGCTTCACGCAAGTTACCAAGATCTGACTGAACTCATGATGGCTTGCTATAACTTGCTATAATGTAATTACTATAACATTTAAAATTCAAAGTGAGAGCTATGCGGTAAAAAGCTTTCGTTAGGTCAAATTTGGTGGAGATACCTGCTGAGACTTTGGACGGTTTTAGTCTTTACTCACGAGTTGTGCCCACCCGAACACATTTGCCACTCGTTCGCTTCTCCCGCAATCGTCGTCTATGGTGATGGTTTTGTTCGAGCATAGTAGCGCGTGCGAGTTTCATACCGTGGTCTTTAAAATAAATGCAGCTGCGGGTAGAGCTGATTAACTTTGTTTATGAACACGTCGGCCCAACGTGTAGATGGCCGTTCTAGGAGACGTTTGCATTCTTGTGGAATCCACTCCACAGTTCATTTCATCCATCTATCGTTTGTTCTACTCATTATGTGGTTAGTCCATCTATGTTTCGCTATCGATGTATATTCTCCTTGATCTCGAAGATGTGACAGATTTCGAAGATCAGAGCTTCGCATTCCGGTTAGACATTGAGAGTGCCGCTTGTATTTCGGAAGACATCGCACAGGAGCTCAGTAAGAAGTGCGGAGTATTCTTGACGTAGCTGAAATATCAGCCCCGTCTCTGCAGCATAACAGAGCGCCGGGAGGGCCGTTGAATCGAAAAGGTGAGCGCTGTTTTTCGGGTCATTTAGTTGGTCGGTGGCTTCTTTGAGAGTGCCGAATGCTGCCCAAGCTTCTCTCTTTCTGTCTTGTTTCTCCTTCATGTTGTTTTCCATGTTCATTGATCGCCAATGGTACACTTACGGGATAGTCTCTGCAGTCAAAGAGCCATTTAGTTCAATTTTTTCGCCCTCATGCCATAGCTTTTTATGAACTGTGTCTTCTTCCGATTTACGCGTAGTCCGATCTTTTTTCCCGCCTCGTCGAGCACATTGATCATCGTATCTGCTTCTCTGGTGCTTCTTGAGAAGATGACAATGTCGTCCGAGAAACGAAGGCTTGATGGGAATTTTTCATCAACACGTTTGCCTTTCTCATTCCAATTGAATGACTTCATTATCCACTGCAGTGGGACACTAAACAGCTTTGTCGATATTGTGTCGCCCACTCGAATCACTTTTCCTATAGCTATGATATGAAGTCCATGGAAAAACTGTATTTTCGTAGTGCAGTTCCGATAACAATCAGATAGAGTTCTTATGTAGAAGGGGTCTAATCCTTGGTCGACGAGCACTGATAGAATTGCATTTATTTCGACAATGTTAAACGCTTTTTTATAGTCGACAAAGGTTAGGACTAGAGTAACGTGGTACTCCCGACAAACTTCAATGACCCTGGACAGTTTGGATGTGGTCCATGCAGCAAAATCCTTTTCGAAATCCTGCTTGCTTCACTGGTTGCTCCTCATCCAATGTCCTTGATATGCGGGACAGGATAATCTTCGTGAAGAGCTTGTAGAGAACACTCAACAAGCATATCGGACAATAGTTATGAAGATCCCTACGGTCACCTTTCTTGGACAGGATGACCGTGCACGTTGTCCTCCACCGCTCTGGGAATTTTTCCTCGTTGAGGTAGGCTGTCATATAGTTTGCGAGAAGTACATGTAAATTGTGGTTTCCAGCTCTAAGGAAGTCGGTGGTAATATTATCGGGACCTGGAGCTGTACCTCATTCACGCTTTCTATCGTAGCTCGAGCCTCCGACGGAAGAATTCCCCGTGCTTTTTTCACCAGCGGGAGTATTAAGGTCCGGGATGGAGAATGTGGAACGGAAAAGGTGGAAAGGTTGGTGTAGAACGTTTCCGTTGTTAATTCCATATCATGGCGGTTGACGGTTGAAGTTTGACGATTACATCTTCGTTAATCACGGTTGGCAGCGGAACACTGTAGTCACACAACTTCCGACGATATTTTATCAGATTGCTTCTTTCTGTCTTGCTTCCAGTATTCTGTTTTGCCTGTACCGATGCAGGTCTTCCTGCAAAGCTTTCAGTTTCCTCCTCTTTTAGAGCAACTCCTTAGTAGAAGTGGAGATGCGATTCGATCACCTTGCTTGAGGAACTGAGGCATATTCGGCACAGCTTTTCAATCTTTCGACAAGCAACTCGTAGTTTTTGGTTGGGTCATCTTTAACCTGCCAGTCACGTTTGGATAGGATTTCGTTCAGAATGTTCTGGTTGTACCCGACTAGACCTTTTCCTCGAGGTCGATTGAATCTTTGCACGAAGAAGGCAGCGATCGCAGCGATCGGAAAAAGTACAGTATGACGGGACTGCCGATGTGTCAAGTAGGCACCATCTTCTGTTTGCCAGAATGTGGTCGCATGAGTCATGCTGTAAGGAGACTCCCATGCCCAGCGGCGGCTTTCATTCTAGAAAAAACATGGTTCCATGGAAGAGACGTGCTGCAAACAAGAGTTTTGCCAAGCGGCTTCCATTCTCATTTTTTTCTTCTAATCTAAAATTTTCGATATTCTCTTGATTACTGCTGATGTTTAAGGTAATACGCCTGGCTTCGCCGACTATATGCTTTGGCCGTTTCTCGAACGTTTACAGCTCATCACACTCTCTCCCTACACTCAGTTTAGGTGAAAAACTTTCTTGATCTAAAGTTCTTGGCGATCTCTTCTTTAAAAGTGGGCATTAGAACGCCTGGAGTTTGATTTCAATGCTGATTACATGAGTACCTAGATGGGAATCCTCTTAGGTGGACTCTTATCTCATTGCGTTCTCTTTTTCCCTATTAATATTTATAAGTGATGAAAAATGCGGTAGATTTTCAGGTACTTCCCCGGTATTCACTATCCTCGAATGGGTGCTTATATTGCAAGAATGCAGAGACAACCTGAGGTAAAATTCGCTCCTTCCTTTTGAAAATAATACCAGTTGTTCCATTCAACAGCTAAAGTTGTTTCAACGTGTTATTGGTTTCCGTACGAATCCTGAGGAATGCACAGGCCCCAGAACGATTTCCTTTTGACTGGAAATTCGCAGTTTGGACAGGAGCGCCTTTCTTTGAAGTTTGCAAGCCAAGCTAGGGCTCTCCCAGCTCTTCACCACCCGCCAGCTTGCTAGACTTTGCTGCCCAGACGGCAATGATACCTATGGTTGCTTTACCTTTTGGTGGGTTTCCGAATGGAATTGTATAACCTGTTCTGAGCTTGGGTTAACCAGCGATGAACCCTATCCTGTACATTGCAGCTCCGTTGGCAGGAACACCTCCGCCACTACCAAACTGCAAACTAGTGAACGAATTCACTGCTATTATGTTATAAAGTTTTCGCAAACTTCTACATATCTAGGTGAAATTCGCCATGCGTCCGCTCTATCAGCACAAAGCCTACGTGGACAGTTTTGCGGCAGGTAATCCGAACTACGATTACGGCATTTCTCAGGCCGGATAATCCCGTTTTATAGCTCTCAAATCTTCTTTGTGCACAGAATGATTTCTTTTCGTTGTTTTTGTAACCCAGTTGTACTAGTCGTTTTATGCTGGAAAATAATCAAATAAATTCGTCTCTGTGAAGTCGTTAAAGAATTTGTTGAATCTCATTTCCTCCTGGTTTCTCTTTCTCTCAGATTGAGAATTTATTGCATTTTACACATTTTGTGCTCGTTTAGCAAGAAATTATTCTGGATACGGTAGATGGAATTCTCAAGGCAACTGACTGAATCCCTGAGAAGTTTCTTGCTTAGTTACTACTGGGGTCCATCCGTGGAATGATAGTTGTGTTTGTTCACATCTACTTGTTTCACTGTCAGATGCTTGGGGATTCTAGATGTCAAGTTGATATCAACCCTTCTCACTTAAATTTGTATGTGGCGTGAATATAGGTATTCGGCTTAGAAACGTCTTTCGTAATTAGGTATTCTCGAGCTGTTTGTTTATATTGCTTTGAATTAATAGTTGTCTCTCCAGTATTGTTGTGCTCTCAAATACGTCTAGAGGATGAAAGAATAAAGCTATCGGCATTGATCAATTCCTGAGCGATGCGCCATGCATTCGACTTCCTCAGGTATCGTTAGTTATGGTTGGATAAATATCTGGCCTACGCAACGGCTTTTAGTGTTCTCGTGATACATTAAGGCTGCAATCCTCCCAAACAATTTTGGTAACAATTCTCTGACCCTGGAGGGAAGGAAGGCGTGCTGGGCTCGGTGAGCGAGATTGGCCCAAGAGGTACCTTAGTATTACCGCGTACTTCTAACTGCTGAGCGACGCGCACCCCTATCATATCTTGAGAATAACCACAAATAGCAGTTCGATCTGTTTTGTGAAAAATGACTGTTTCAACTCATTAGTGAAGCAAAAACGAAGTCAGCTTTGAAGCGCAATGCGCTTACGAAACGGAACAAGTGTTAACTTCAAGAAATCTTTTGCAACTGGCTAGTCTATGGCTTTGCAATTGCTCTGTGCTAAACTTAATGACGTTCAATTATTTTTGCGAGAGAACATCTTCCTAAAAAATCAAACCGATCATAAATCACTGCTGTCGGCCGCAAATACCGGGTAGTCCACAGTAGTTGGATTTAGTGACATATTGACAACGCCGTGTCAACGAGACCTGAAGAGTCACATTCAGGCACAGAAGTCCAAATGCCAATGATTGAGGCAGGTACTGTTGCAATGTGCACAATGATTTTTGACAGNGAAAATTCAAATTTTTCGAGCTACAAAGAGTTTTTCTTGGTTTACTGCCGTGGGTGTGGAGCAGCAAAACTACCTAACAAGTAGACTTTCGTCCAGAATCGTTTGCTGACCGCACTTCTCGCTTGTCTTATTGATAGCCGAGCATGGAGTAAAATTGTGCTGACATCTTCAATAAAGTGGTCTTCAACAACATGAGGTTCATCTAGCAGGCAATGAAGGCTTCGTTTTTTCGTGGTGACTAGATATATTCTAGAGTATTTGGATACCCTATGCATAGGTAACGGAATTCGAGACGAATCCGATCCAAACCGTAATTTAAGTTGGACACCCGCTTCTCATGGGGGTAACTCCCATTATTGTTGATTTCGCAGACACCTTTGGTGTGGAAGCGGTCATTTTGGGAATTGGGGGATTACCTAGTAGATACAAGTTAGTCGGAGCTCAAAGTGCGCCAAAACAAAGCGCTTCAACCGTGCTCTGTATTTCTGGATTTCCTTCTTCCTTGTTTTTCATCTCACGGACAGTCGCATACGGGCCACCGTGCTAGTGCTCGCTCACGATTTCTACGAAGCGTTGGCACTCGCTCAACTCACGAACAATCCCAAATTCGTTGTTAATGAAGTAAACATCTCAGAACGAGGAGTGGAATAATGGTGAATGTTTCTTCAATCATCGACCGTTTTCTAGAACTCAGAATCCTAGGTGCTTTAATTATTGAGGGACATGTAACATTGTAAGTGGGAACGTTGAAGAAGCGCTATTGGAAGGATCAGAGAAGTTTTCTCGTAAGCAAGGTTTTGAACGTACTCTCCAGCCTAATATTACAATGAAAAGTTGAGAACCGCCAGCGGTTTTCCTCTTGATAAATGCTGCTGCGTGCTTGAGACTTTGTGATGGCAACTGTGACTGTGAACACGTTCATGCCTGCAAATGCAATACTAAGAGGAATTGAGACCATGTCGGTGACATGTTTCTTTGTGTGAACCAAGTTCCACGAATGCGAAGCCGTTCAAACCTTTATCGTATCTTATCTTTGTTATCAACCAAGTGTTGGCTTAATAGTCGAAGAAGGCTGTAGTCCCTTATCAGTTTTAAAAGTTCGTATTTACTCGCGGCAGCTATTAAGAGTTTTGCACAGTCATTTATTTAATGGTTGAACTTGGCACATTGCATAGATCTCATTTTGTTTGACGTTTCGCATCTATCACCACAGGGGTTTTCGAATTTGTTTACGGGTTTGGCTGTCGCTTGAGGACTGCTTTTCAAGGTGATTGTCTCTGAATGATGGTTGAGTTGGTTTGTCCTGGAGCCCTGCGATAACTGAATTACAGCGACATAACGTTTTATTCGTTTGTTCTCCAAAGTTACGTGTTAGGTGTAAATATAACTAATCAAGGTTTATTCTTTCAGCTTAGGCATCCAGAATCTCATCGCAGTGCAGCCTTTGCGTGCAAGGCTTAAGGTGAGTCAGCAGTTCCACACTGATTTTTAATTTTTACTGGCTGTGCGCGCAAAATTTACAAGAATCGACGAAAAATTCGTTATGCGCAAAACTTGCGCTAATAATTCTGAAAGTTACAGATGTAATAGCAGTAACAGGCTACCACGATTTTTGATTTCTCCGTCAAACTCTTGTAAAACAACCACAGCGCTACTACACCTTTCGGTGGCTAACGCCTTCACCACCACAACAAGCGGCCTTCGTTTTGCCTGTCTCTCAGCTAGTTCTGTCGATCAGTGCCATTAGCAATCACCCGTCGACGGGATTGATCTGTGGAGCCCACATCGGCATTGAACCCAGTTAAGCTGAAGCTCTAGTTGAAATCACAATGCTAAGTTTTTATTTGCTCCCTACTATAAATTGTTTTCACGGCAGGGTATGATGCGAAATACAACCACTATGATACCGAGATATTCGCAAAACACTGGACCACAGGTGTCTGCGGTGTAGAAAGAACGCGCTATTACTCTTCCCGGGGCTAACGCGTTCACCATCACACTATGTGTGGCCTTCGTTTAACCTCTTTCCTGTAAAATAGTTATTAACTCACCGGCGGTATTACTGCAATATTATGTCTTGTGCCAGCTTTAAAAAAGCCGAGCTCTGGAGTTTATCTTTTCTCGATTTCCGAACTGATCCTTCTTAAATCATGCGCTGGAAGAAAATCTTGGACATTGGTAAATATTGCATTTGATTCAAAAATGGGCGAGTGGCGAAATGATAGTTATGCCAATCATTACGCGGTGAGACCAAACTACTCAGGCGCTGGCTCAGCCTTCCATGTGGTTCATCAAGTTCTCACTCCTTTGGGGTTGTGAAATTGGTACCAGATTGCTCTAGAAACAGTTTGTTTTCTCCAATAACTCTCCATGAGTGATGACGCACGAAGTGTATAAATGTTGTAGTAATAAAGAAATTACGAAGCAAACCTCATCTTTATTAATTGAAAAAAGGCCAAGTGCCAACAGCAACGTAGCTGCAAGATAGAAAAGTGGAACACAGTGTGGTACAGAGTTTATAATTCCTTGGGTACTCGGACGGTCCGCCTTCACGGGTTCTGCAGGCCCAAATTTAATCTCCCATTTATGGAAATTTGCTGGTTTAGCTATTGTAGTTCCCTGGAGTCTTGAGGACAGCGATGCCAGAGTTTGCTCAAGGTAAGGTCGTTACCATCATAGGCGATTGCCACCCTTGTGGATCAGAGAGAGATTTGCGACCATGCGACTAGTTTGATGACGGTGACAGATGCTGGTATTGGTTCACACCTATCGGGAATCCTTGATGGAGACACCGGTCTCCATCTCAGCTTGACAGGCTGTCGTGAGGACGAATCGTTCCGCTCTACCTCGCAGCCCAACACCCAAGAACACCTCCCAGCCACGATGAGGCGGTAAACCGTTGGGAGAGGTACAGAGTATGTAGCACTTACATTGAATAGATGCAGCAAACTCACATCAAAAAAATAAAAATGTCAAAATCGAAATCTCTGAAGTTTCCTAATTTAACCAAAATGCATGACGGACCACCGAAAAATCAAGGTAGTAGCACAGATTGAATGGTATCGGAAGGGGACGTGCACGAGTTTCGCTGTTTCTTAACGCCGAAGAAATTTTGCGCTTATGCGAGTGAACTCACCACGAAATACTGTGGTAGGGTTTCATGCGGCGTCAAATGAACAACTAGCATGCGCACCGAAAAGCGCTCCAATCCAAAAACGAATTCACCTTCGTCAAGATGCGCAGGTGAGTTGAAGGGAGGCTGCATGGCGTACAATTTGAATGAGTCCGTCTATCGCTGCTTCGTTTGTCATCACTTTTTTTGTTTCGCTGTTTCGTTTTTTTTTTCTTATTTTTCTTTTGTAGGGGTCGGCGTGACAGCAAACGATAGCTATTCGTTTCAATACTGTTCATAGTTGGACTGCTATACGGTATAAGACGCTGAGAAGCTGGGGAAGGCGTTAATGACTAGGGTTGAAATATTCTTTGGCAACAGTTAGAGCTTCACAGCCACCATTTCGCCTCTGTTGTGATCCACGTCTCGATATAATCTTTGAGTGCCATTCTGGAGACGATTATGCTTGCATCGGTTTTGGGAGCGACGCCATGCACGCTTCTCTTCGTCCACTCGCCGTCGAGGTGTTCGAGGCAATTACTGTTCGATTTTCACGGCTCGTTTGGAGATGTCTGTCTCATAAGAGCAACAATGTTCATTAGACACGGGTTTGTTCTGCTCCCCTACTGACACCACTGATG